TAGGTAGAGACAAATGTATTTAAAAATAAATAAATTAATTAAGAAAAGAAGAAAAGAAAAATAAATGACTTGAAGCATGCCTTTTAAAACAGATCACCGCAGATCAAAATAGTACCATTACATTGCAATGAATCACAAACTAATCAAGACTGTGTGGTATAGGCATAAGTATAGACATATATGTAGATCAATAGAATGGAGCTATTTTTATATAGATAGAGTAAACTGATTTTAGACAAGGATGTAGTGGTGATTCATGGGGACAGGATAGTCTATTCAACAAATAATGCTGAGACAACTTGATATCCACATATAAGGGAATGAAGTTAGACACCTACTTTATATAAAAATTAACTAAAAATAGATCAAAGATCTAAATGTAAGAACTAAAACTATAAAATGCTCACTAGAAAATATTGGAGGGAATCTTCATGACCTTAGATTTAGCAATGGTTCTTTAGATTGACATCAAATGTATCAACAAGAAAACAAGAAATCAATAAATTGCATTTCACCAAAATAAAATTTGAAATTCCTCAAAGGACACTATCAAAAGAGTGGAAAGACAAACCAAAAAATGGGAGAAAATATTTACAAATCATATACCTTGTAAAGTACTTGTAACTAGAATATATATAATTTTACAGTACAATAATAATAAACAGATAAATAACCAATAGAAAAACAGGGGCAAAGATGGTAGGTTATATATTCCTCTGAAGGTAATATACAAATGGCCAAGAAGCACATGAAAAATTCTTAGCATCATTAGTCATCAGGGATTTGCAAATCAGAACGATAATGAGATATCATTTTATACCCAGTAGGATGGTTATAATAATAAAATAGAAATATAGGGAGACACAAGAATCGGCTTTAGCGTAATGTAACTAGTAAGGAGTGCAGTACAGACCTAAGAAGGTGGGTGGGGAGCACATGGGCGGCAGCACCAGGAGGATATTTAAATGGCCAGTTGGATCCCCCTGAGAAGAGCGGGGTCTAAACCAAAAGTGGGGATCTCTAGCCCACAGCACCAGAGCCCAAAAAGTACACAGAAAGCAGCCAGCTGCGAAAAGCAGCAGGGTTGCTCTCTGCCAGAGACAGGCGTCTGGAAATGTAAAGGACTGTTTAAAGAGCCAACGCATAAATTTTTATTTGCAGCCACTTACCTTGGTCTCTGGCAAAGGCGGGGCCATAGTGGGCTGGAGATGGATGAGGAGAAGCTGGGGAAGGAGGCATTGGGGAGAGAACTGAGAGAGTGGTGGGCAGGATCTCAGTGCTGACTCACCCTCAATGTGTCAGCAGCCATCTTGCTCAGGAAGAGACCACTTCCCCTAAGCTGCACCAGCATCAAAGGACGCAATAGACCCACCTGCAAGTGGGACTCCACCCCACCTTGAGCTGTCTAAGCTGCCTATTGAATGCAGAGTGGCAGCCACAGACAGTAGATACCTGGCTAAAGGAGGCGCAGAGAGGTCTGGTGACACTTGAGAAGAAACTGGAGATGGAGCCTTTGGGGAGAGAAAGAAGAGAGTAGCTGACGGGATCCCAGTGTGGAAACCTACCCCATACAGCAGCAGTGTGAAAGAGGCTGTGCCCCACCCTGAGCTGTCTAAGGTGGCCTGCTGAGTGCAGAGTGAATAGAATAACAGCTGAAGAAGAGAGCCACAAACAGTAGATTACCGGAAGTCTCAAACAGACTGCCTAAGGTCAGACAGGGACTTCATCTGACAACATCAGAGGCAGATCCTGAAAGTGAAAAACAGCAGTCTCCAACCATAGAAGTTCACACCACAAAGTCAGGAAATCAAGACAGATCAACTTAAGAAGCAGAAGCGAAAGAGAAGAGTCTCACAAATAATGGGAAGACAAAGAAATATGCCCCACTCGAAAGGAAAGGACGAATCTCCACAGAGACAAGGGAATAAATGAAATAGAGGCAAGTTAAGTATCAGATATTGAGTTCCAAACAATGGTACTAAGGAAGCTCAATGAGCTCAGTGAGCTCAGAGAGAATTACAAAAAACTGCAGGGAAACTGTGACGGACTTACTACAAACTATATCAGCATGAAAAAGGACATAGAAACTATCAACAAGAGACAAGAGGTAATGAAGAATACAATTTCTGAATTGAAGAACACAGTAGAAGGAATCACAAGCAGGCTAGATGTAGCTGAGGACACAATCAGAGCGCTGGAGGGCAAGGAAGAAAAAAACCTCCCAGAAAGAGCAAGAAAATGAAAAAAAAAGACTCAAAAATAGTGAAGAGGCATTGAGGGAAATGCAGGACAACCTGAAACGTAATAATATCCATATAATAAGGATACCAGAAGGAGAAGAGGATGAGGAAGGGATAGATAACCTATTTGAAAAAGTTATAATAGAAAAGTTCCCTAATTGGAGGAGAGAAAGAGTCACATAAGTCCAGGAAGGAGAGAGCATCCCATTCAAGAGGAACCCAATGAATCCCACTCCAAGACACATCATCATTAAAATGGCAAATATCAAAGGCAAACAGAGAATCATAAAGGATGCAAGGGAGAAAGAGGTAGTAACATAAAAGGGAGCCCCGTTACAGCTAGCATCTGACTTCTCAACAGAAACACTGCAGACCAGAAGGGAATGCCAAGAGATATCTCAAATTATGAAAAGCAAAGGCCTGCAACCAAGACTGCGCTACCCAACAGGGCTGTCAATTAAAATGGAAGACAAAATAATGATTTTCCCAGACAAATGAGGATGAAAAGAAAACACCTCCACCAAACCAACACTGCAAAATATGCTAAAGGGACTACTTTAAGATGAAGGAAAAGTTTCTGTGAATACCCAGTTCCTTTCAGAGTTGCCAATACTTGATATTACCAATATTTTTAATACTCATTAATCTGATTGTGACATTGATGTTATTTTAATTGTTCCATTACAATTTTTTTTGTAACTAAACTTGTTTTAGTATATGTCTTGCCTATTTCTATTATTTTTAAAACAAAAGCTTTAAATTACTTTTTGGTATTCTTTATCCATTTATTGATTACAGGTTTGTAGAAGTTTTCTTCCCTAAAAAAAAAAAACCCTATTAACCATGTTTTAGATGTGTTGCATATACTTTTCTACTCTATTCCTTATCCTTTACCTTTTTTATATCTATATTACTATATAATTAAATGTTTAATATAGTCATATTGTTAATATTTACTTTATAGCTTCTTGGTTTGAATATTTTACTTCAGGTCATGAAAAATATTAGTTCAGTTTTCTTCTAAAACTCCTTAGATTCTATGTATTGATTTTTACCTCACCTGAATATTTCTTGTATAATGTGTGAAATAGGGCTCTCTCTTTGCTCTATTTCAAATAATAGTGGTCCATGCATCTTACTTGTTAAATAAGCCTTATTTTGCCCATTGATTTGAAATGTCAACTTATACATACTTTAATCAGATATATACATCTCTCTCTAGAATGCTCATTATATTTCATTGATCTACTTGATTATTTCTGTGCTGCTGTCATGTTTGTTTACTTGCTGGGACCTTATAATGATTTTAAATTTTTTTAATATTTTATAATTAACTTCGACATTAAAAATATATATAAAATCAATCTATGTTTAAGAAAGAGAGAGAGAGAGATGGAACTTCTACCTTTTGTGACAACATGGATGGAAGTGGAGGATATTAAGCTAAGTGAAATAAGCCCGTTGATGAAAGAAAAATACCATATGATCTCACCTATAAGTGGACTTTATTCAACAAAATAAACTGAAGAACAAAATAAACCACAGGCATGGATATATGGAGCAGACTGAAAGTGACCAGAGGGGAGGGGGAAAGAGGACAATGGTGCAAGGAAGGGGAAGGGACTGAACAAAGAACATGTATGAATGACCCATGGACATGGACAACAGAGTGAGAATTGACTGTGGGAGTGGGGGTGTGGAGGTGGGATGGGTGGAGGGGGGTAAAAATTGAGACAACTGTAATAGAATAAACATGATTTATAAATTAAAAAAATAAATAAATGCACTAAGGACAAAAAAGAAGAAATATCTTCAAAAATAAAATAGAAAATAATAAATGTTTTCGAGGAGTTGGATAAATTGGAATCTTCATTGTTGTTGGAGATATAAAATTGCACAACCACTGTGGCAAACCATTTGATATTTCACTAACATGTTAAACATAGAGTTAGCATTTGACCTAATAATTTTACACCTAAATATATACTAAAGAGAGATGAAATCACATATCCACACAAAAACTTTATATGAATGCTAACACCAGCATTATTCATAGTAGCCAAAATGTGGAAATAGCCCAGGTGACCAACATTTAATGAATAGTAAATGAAAATGAATCAAATAATGATATTGTCTTATAAAATGGATCGCATTTGGGAAAAAGCTAGTCACAGAGGCTCACATATTTTCTGATTATCACTCATGTAAAATGTTCAAGATAGATAAATCTACAGAGACAGAGAATGCATAGTAGTTGCTTAAAGCTTAGATATGTGTGGCAGAATTTAAGGATGATAGGCTCAAATATATGAGGCTTCCTTTTGTGGATAGTAAAAATGCGCTAAAATTGATTGTGGTTGGTTTCATAATTCATTTAAATCCTGAAAATATTTGAATTTTACACTTTAAATGGGTAAATTGTTTGATATGTAAATTATATCTCAATAAAAGTGTTACAAAACAAATAAACATCTGTAATTATTCCATTCAGTTAATAAAGTAGCCATTGCTCCTGTCCAAGCTCATGTTTTGAGAAACGTTGAGTTAAAAAATCTTTAATTAACCCTTTATTTTCTCCCAAATTGCCAGTTCACTAGAGATCTCTATTCTCTAACAATTCTAGTTAAGACTTTATTCTAAATTTCTGCATGATATAATGGGTTGCCATAGGGTTCTCCTTCTTTAATTACTGTAGTTTAGATTCTCAGAGTCATTGAATGGTTTAACATTGGAACTGTACTCTCTATTCTGATACTACAGGATGAGGAAGAGGATCTCAGGACTGAACTCAACTTTCTGAAGAAGTACTCTTTCTACAAAAACATTGTGTCCTTCTATGGTGCATTTTTTAAAGCTGAGTCCCCCTGGCCAGAGGCACCAACTTTGGGTATGTATCAATTACCTTGATGTTATTCCATAAGACTAGGTGATACTTGAGGATATACACATTCATAAGCTATCACACAACCCAAACACTTTCTGTTTTACTCCAACCATCACTCAGGTTTGTCGCCTACATAAAGTTTTTCCTAAAGGCATGTACTCATTCTGGTTTTCCTTTTCAGCATATCCAAACACTACCTCTCTTTTAAGGCTTAGCTCAGATCTTATCTCCTGGTTAAGTATCCCTGGTGTAATAGTTGTCTTCCCTTCTTACCCAAATATTTGGATTTTTCCAACTCATTTTTATGTTTTTATTGAATTTATTAGGGTGAGATTGATTAATAAAATTATATAGGTTTTAGGTGTACAATTCTATTATATATGACCTGTATACTGTGCTGTGTGTTCCCCATCCCAAGTCAAATCTCCATTCATTGCCATTTATCCCCCCAATACTCTCTTCTACCTCTCCCACCCTCCTTCTCTCTGGTAATCACCATACTGTTGTCTGTATATGAATTTCTTTTTACTTCACTGAATACTTTTACCATTTTTACCCAGCCCCAAAGCCCTCTTCTCTGACAGCTGTCAGTCTGTTGTCCATATCTATGATTATGTTTCTATTTTGTTTGTTAGTTTATTTTATTCATTAGATTAGATTCCACACAAAAATGAAATCATATTTTATTTCTCTTTCTCTGACTGGCTTATTTCCCTTAGCATAATACTCTCCAGGTCGATGCATGCTGTAGCAGAAGATAAGATTTCCTTCTTTTTTATGACTGAGTAGTATTCTATTGAATAAATGTACCACAGCTTTTTTTATTTATTCATCTACTGATAAACAACTTATACAACTCAACACCAAAAACACAAACAATATAATTTAAAAATGGGCAAAAAGATTCATTGGTACTGCTGCTCACTTGAGATGCATTGCTATAGTGTATTAGCTGATGAATAAAGACAAGCAACAAGCAAAGAAAAGCACAAGGAAGAAGACAACAAAGAGAAGAGGAGAAATACCCCACAAGGCCTAGAGATAAGAAGTTTTGAAGCCAAGGAGTACAGAAGATGCTTAATACCATCCAGTAAGGAGATGCCACAAATCGAAGGGGAAATATACTGTGCAAGGTGTCCGTGGCAATGGAGAGACCAGACAGAAAGTGCAACTGTGGAGCTCCCTCCCATCTCGGAGCAGGGGGCACTAGTCCCACACAGGGATCCTCAACCATAAACAAGAGAGACTTGGGAGGATAAATGGAGTCTGGGAGACCCAAGCTACACACACACAGTGAGCAGGACATCCATAATAGTAATGCCAACTTGGAAACTTCTAAATAGGGACCCAATCTCCTAAAACAGATGTCCTCAACTCCCAAGCCATAGACCAGTACGAGACCATGGCCTGTTAAGAACAAGCTATGCTGGTTCCTCAAGCCCTATTCCACTGAAACCAGCTGGGAAGAGTGCAGAAATTGGTGTAGCAAGGGATATTCAAGGCCCCACCCAGCCTCGACTCTTATACAGAGCTGACATCAGCACCAGGCAAGAAAGAGTTGACCCTTTTACACAGATTGGCCCCTCAAATGAAACAGACAGCTAACTCATCAGAAACTATACATTACTGCGAATAATCTGGGGGTGGAGGAACATACCCACTATTTTCCCTGAAGTCTGAACAGCACCTCCAAGGGGAGAGCCAGGGGCCTCTTCCTCCTGATTGCACCAAAAGCCCTCTCAGAAACAGACGGGTCAGCGGTGAGACTAGGACTAATGGAAGAACCACAGATAGAGGCAGGTGGGGGTGGTCCCTGTGGTGCTTTCATATGTTGGATGACCCACCTTGTGCTGATGAAAAACAAGCAGAGCAGAGAAGCAAGGACCATCCTAAATGCAGCCAAGCTTGAAGAAGACAGCCACAGACTGTGTATTGCATGTAGCTGCCAGGAGGCTGCCTAAAGCTAGATGAGGATGATGTCTGACATTGCCAGATTCAGACCCAGAAGGAGATGCCTGCAGCCGAGCACTGGGCGCTGCTCAGACAAATTCTGCCTCATTCTTTCACATTGTTTGCATGGTATTTTCTTTTGCATAGCTTTTTAACATTTTTTCTTTTCCTTCAATTTTGTTCCTATTAGTTCACTGTCTTTTTTTAAATTTCGAATTTTATATTTTACTCTTTTCATACTCCATTTTTATTTTTCCTTCTCCTTATGTTCTTTTTTTTATTGTTCAAATACATTTGTCTCCACCTTCCTGCCACCACTTTCTTCTGCCCCCCTCCCCCACCTCCCTCCCTCAATCCTTTCCCACTTTGGCTTTGTCCATGGGTCCTCCACTCATGTTCCTTAACTTGACCCTTCCGTTCCCTTTCCCTGTCCCCACTCCCTCCTTCCCTCTTGATTCTGTTGGTTTCTTTTTTCTTTCAGTGTTGCTGGTTATATTTTCCTTGCTTGTTTGTTTTGTTGGTTAAGTTCCACTTATAGGTGAGATCATACGGTATTTTTCCCTTTCTTCACCTTGTTCCTGTTCCTTACTTTTATTATTTTTCCTCCCTCATCCTCACAAAATCATTTTTCTTTCCTTTAATCATCTCATTCTTTTTCTCTTATAATAATTGTATTCTCTTTCTGCCTTTATTAATCTTTGCTCACTTGTCATTGGTGTTGCTGTTGTAATTATTCTTCAAATTTAATCTTATTTGTTCAATATTTTGTTATCAAATCTCATATTTTACTCTTTCCTTATTCCATCTTTGCCTTCTTCCTTCCCTTTCTTACTCTCAGTTTAAATTTTATATTTCCTTTCTTCAGATTGTTTCTATTCTTTATTTTGTTGATTCTCATCACTCTATACTCTCAAAGTCATATTTTTTTTCTTTTCATCACCTCATATTCTTTTTTCTGTCTTACTATATACTTGTTTTCTTTCAACTTTTGGTGAACTTTGCTCATTTGTCATTGCTATTGTTGTGGTGGTTGTTTTCCCTCAGTTTCGTGCCTATTTTTTTCACAATTTTTTCTCCTTTTTATTATTTCAAACCTCGTATTTTACTCTTCCCATTTCTCACACCACTTAGCCTTCTTTCTTCCCTTTGTTATTTACATTTTATATTTTATTTTTCCCTTTCTTCACCTCGTCCCTGTTCCTTACTCTTATTATTTCTCCTCCCTCTGCCCTCTCAAAATAATTTTTCCAATAGTCATCCCATATATTTTAACCTTCCTTATAATATTCTTATTTAATTTTGACATTGATTAATCTCGCCTCATTTATGGTTGATATTGGTGTTATGGTGGAGGGGGATATTTTTGCTGGTATGTGTTTTGTTTTCTGTGTTGTTTTGTTTTGTTTCATCAGCACCTGTACAAGAAATAGGAAATCAAGAAGATGGCACTACTGAATCCCAAAAAACTTCTACCACAGACGGCCACCCCGTGAAGACAGAGAGTCAAAGTAGATCAATCTAATATGTAGGAACAAAAAAATAATAATCAAAAATAGGGATACAAAGAAACGACCCCCAATTGAAAGGAAAGGAGGAATCACCAGAAAAAGAGACCAAATGAAGTTGAGGCAAGCAATTTACCGGATACAGAATTCAAAGTAATCTTTATAAGGATTCTCGAGGAACTTAGAACTACAAGGAACTTAGCGAGAACTACATCAACATGATAAGGGACATAAGAACCAGGTTGAAATGAAGGATACATTATCTCATATGAATAATACACTAGAAGGAATTAAAAGCAGGCTATTTAAGTAGAGGACTGAATCAGCGAGTTGGAAGACAAGGTAGTAAAAACCCAATCAGAGCAACAAAACAAATAAAAGACTGGAAAAGAACAAAAATATGATATTTTGCCGTGTATAATGCACATTTTTTGCTCAAATTTTTGAGGGAAAAATAAAGATGTACATGATATATGGGTAGTATTACCATAACATGTTAAAAATAAATGCTAAATTATTGTATAATAAAAAACAAATATCTAAAGATAAATAAATAGTTGAATTTTAAAAATTAAAATGAAAGACATTTTTCCTGAAAGTTTGCCATTATAAATGGCAAAATATGCTAGTTAAGAGGGTTTTGGACAATACGAAATGTAACAATATTCAAACCATAGGGATACCAGAAGGAGAAGAAGAGAAACAAGGGTTAGAAAACCTGTTTGAAAAAATAGTGACATGAAACTTCCCTAAATTGGTAAAGGAAAAGTCATGCAAATTCAGGAAGTACAGAAGGCCTCAATCAAGGTGAACCCAAAGAGGCCTACTCTAAGATACAACACAATTAAAATGACAAAATTTAAAAACAGCAAGGAAGAAACAACTAATAGCTTACTAAGGAGGTCCAATAAGGCTATCAGCTGATTTCTCAACAGAAACATCACAATCCAGAAGATTGGCATGAAATAATCCAAATAATTATAAGCAAGGATGTGCAACCAACAGAGCTCTATCCAGCAAAGGTCTCATTCAAAATGAGAGAAGAACATTCCAGACCCCCCAAAAAAATGTTTAAAGGAATACACCTCCACCAAACCAGTATTGAGAGAGATGCTAAAAGGACTGCTTTAAGAAGAAGAAATGAGGGGGGTGAGGAACACAGGTACAAAGGCAATGGCAATGAACAAGTGACTATCAATAATAACCATAAGTGGTAATGGATTAAATACCCCAATCAAAATATATAGGGTAGCTTAATGTATAAGAAAACAACCTTCATATACGCTGTCAACATGAGACCGACCTTAGAACAAAAGATTCATAGAGATTGAAAGTGAAAGGATGGGAAAAATATTCCATGCAAATGGACATGAAAAAAAAAAAAGCTGGGGTAGCAATACATATATCAGAAAAAACAGACTTCAGAGCAAAGGTCATAACAAGTGACAGAGAAGGTCATTACATAATACTTAAGGGAATAGTCCAACAAGAGGATATAAGTCTTGTAAACATATATGTACCCAACATAGAAGAACAAAATTATATAAA